TTGAGGCTTGGCCTGCTGCTTCTGTTGGACAGAATTACGCAGCCCGCTTTCCTCATAGGGAAGTACATGAACGTGCTTCTCCCGTATCTGTGCCTGTGTCTATTAAATAGCTTTTCTGTAGCCAGCACAAGACTTGTCCACGGTTCTCGGAGGCCTCTGCCAGAGGGCAGAAGAGCGCAGAACATCGCAGCGCGAAGGGTTCGCGTACCAGCACGAAGCGCGTTCGGACTCAGTACTTCCTTCTGGTGTCGGCAGACGCGCTTGACAGAAAACGTCGCGCGTAACAGATCCGCTAAGAAAAAGCTAGAGAAGGAAGTATCTGAGAAGCTGAAGCGAGAGCCCTCACTGAAGTTTTGTGTAACAGGCGTTTGCTTGATCACTGAGGGTAGACCGTACTTGAAGTGGTGTTGTAGAGGGACAGTGTTACACCTCGTTTCACCTCCCTGAGTTAACGAGGCTTTCAGTTTTGTAGCGTCACCAGCAGATGAGCAGGTAGGCTGCTCGCGACGTAGTTCCATAACTATACTAAATTACAACATAAGACACTCAGTTGCCATTTACTTCACCATTAGTAAGGATACATATCGTAGAGCTCATACTATGATGAAAACGTAAGAGTGCCAGCTTTACTTTTAATTTGACTTTCTCCATTTTCACACATACATGCCCTACTAGATTACTTACCCTCCTGATATTGTACATTTTGTTTAGTACTTAGTTATTATGAAATAAACTGGAACAGCAAAGAAACGTGCAGACAGGATGGCAGTTGTTCTTTGAAGAACACAGTTAACGCTGTGGTGTACAGTCTGTGATGCACTGCGGTTGCACTACAGTGCGTGCAACTAGATGAGTTGAATGTATGTCTACTTTGCTGCCTGTTAATCATCTGTGCTTTCTGAGATTTACTGCAGATGTAATGGAAAGTTCTTAATTTTTCCCCAGTTTCATATATATCATTTTAATACGAAGAAGGTGAGGTAAGGCTTTGAGCTAGAACTACTGATGAAGATCTGATCCTTCAGCAGCCATTCATTAATTCTTTTGTTTTCCTGTTGAGTACAATGTGACAGAAGAGTACAGCCGATGAACGTGTTTTGCAGTGTTCGTACTTCTGTATTTCTTTTTAAGATGGCTAATTGCTCTATTACCCAAACCTATTCTTGTCAGATAGTAAATAGAAGAGTTCAAAACACAACTGAGTGACTTGTCTATTAGAAAACAGTCACTCAGTTCTAGCTAAAAGTGCCTCTACGTTTTGTTCAGAGTTCTTTCCTGGATTCCAAAATTATATCTTGCCTGATAAAATAAGGCTTCCTTAAATATTTATTCCTAAAACAATTCATAAAAATTGTATGCGATTTCTAGAGAGGAAAAATGTGTCAATCATGACTATACCTGTAGCAAATGATGACTCTGGTAATGATTCATTAATAGAATTTAAATCAATGACATCATGAATCACAGCCCCACTGAAAACAGTGAACAATGCCATGTAAATCCAAGTGCAGGAATGAGTCCTGTTTTGCCAAAATAAGAAAGACGGGGAAAAAATGGGAAACTGGGTAGCTGTTCCTATTTTGCCAACCGTATCATCTTAAAGACAGAACAATGGTTTAGATAGAATAGGAGTCAAATACAAAGCTTTGAGAGGTTTTAAGAGCTCCAGGAATCCTGTAATACTGTGAGAGCAACCTGTAATTGAAAATCAAAACCATATTTACAAAACTGGAGCAGATAAAAGCTGAAGAAACTAAGAAGTTGGAGCAATAGATTACCTTTGTTTCAGTTCTGTGTAGCTGAATTCTTTCACCTGACTGCCTTAGATAAAGCCACATAAGCATGTTTCTGCAAACAAAATCTGGAAATTCCTTACACTAATATCATTTTCTTATTTATTCACATGGACAAGGTCAAACTTTACTAAATTATATTGACAGATTTGTTCTTGGCTATTTTTTCTGTTTTGTAAGAATCCTACAATATTTGTACAGTATGTTCTTTGAAGAAGTAGCATACCTTTTAAATTCAAATTTGTTTCTAACAGTAGTGATTTATTAGACTAATTAGATTATATTTCTGGTGGTGCTTACAAGTCCTATCCTTTTCTAGACAAAAATCCCATGTGTCACTTAAAGACCTCACTAAGGCAAACCTGTAGCTTAGAACCTGTTTCTGTTAGATATGGTACCTGTTATGGATGGCTTTTCTTTAAACTACCGTGCAATTAAATGCAGAAATACTCCGTAAAGCTCAGATTCTTACAAGGTGAATTGAAGAAAATAATTTAGATATATGTATTTTACCTAACGATAGCAAATTTATAATCCTTCTAACAGTATATAGGTTGAAGCTCAAAAAACAATGTTTAATTATTTGATTACACTCTTCCCTTTAAAAGATGAGCTGAGTGTTGTGCAAGAAAACAATGTATATGAGAACCTTTCTTAAGTTTTCATTTATCATGTGCATTCTTCGTATACTGTGTGAAGTTTATCAGCAGAAGAGTTTTGAAGATACTTACTCTGTAGTTTCTTGCTGAGAAAACAGGCAAATAGGAAAAGCAAAAAGAGTGGAATGTGGGCTATAGATAAAATAATTATATGTTTTATCATTAACTGCTAAAATGTTCAGGCCATCTTAAGATTAGGGTAGAAGATAACTTGGGTACAAGCTAGACTTGTTCTAACCTATACAAAATACTGGTTTTAAGCAGTTCTGAACTTGCTGGGTAATTTATGGCATTTTCAAATGCCCTTTGAAGTATGTGGAAAACTCAGGGATAAGCCTTAATAAACTAATCAACCTCTCAGATAGATAGCCTAGTTCAGAACAGTGTTATGGGAGTTTTAGAAGTCATCAAGTTTACATTAATATAACTAGTATATTGATGAACCTTAAAAGCACACAAGACTTAAGGTTTTCAATTATTACAGCTTTTTCTTACAGTTGGTTTGGATTGTAGGTGCTAAAGTAATGCAGAATTTGGCATAAAACTGTGCACTCTATAATTAGAAGAAAGGTAGCACTGGTATTTCATTTGCCACATAACCTGCTAAGTAGATATACCATGTTGTATAATCTACCTGTTGATGTCATGTTTCCAGGTAAAGGGCTGCTAACGCTAAGTTATCAGGAAAAATTAAATATATTCTCCTAAACATCCTGTTTTACAGACCAGTGAGATGTGAGGAAGAGTGAGGCCTGGGTTCTGGTTATTCTTAATTACCTTGCATTGACTTTTGATTGAATTCAACGTACAAGATGGAACAGGTGTTTTTGCTGCCGAAAGCATGGCCCTCATTTGCATCTGAAATCCATGAGCCATGTCACAGTGAACAGAAGTTGTTTTTCCCAGCCTTGGAACATGTCTCACACAAGGACCAACCACATCATAGTCCTTAGTGACTAAAGTGATTTTTTTTTTTTTTAATTTAGTTGGATTCAGTATTTTAAAGTTAACAGCTGGTGGGAGCCTCTGAGCTCAGCTTTCTTAACAATGAAATAGAGGTTTCTTTGTTTTACTTTCTTTGAGTGAAATGATTACGTCAGCCTTCATTTTCATGTTAGTGATTCAAATAAAAAACAAAGGAAATTTTCATGTGCTCTCTTTGTAAAAGCTATTCATAGGAAATATCTTTGATGTAAATGTAGTAATTAAATAAATACATATGTTTGAAAAGGCTAAGGTCTGTCATTGTTGTTAAACTAAAGACTCCTGTTTACCTACAGAGCAGGTATTGTGCAAAGAGCTGAAATAAGAGCTTCTCTTCCCTGCCTCAGTATTGACCTTAACCTAGATCACTCATGTTCAGTGTTTGCAGAGCTGAGATGTTTTCTGTGATCTTTTCACAGAGCTCCTCTGGTTCAGAAATTATTAATCTGTTAAAGAAGTGATAGTGATCAGGAGCTGGACTGAGACCGTTCAAAATGAAAACCAATTAACAAAGCAATGGGACTGCTATGGATAATTAATTCTTGCAAGCAGAAATTTCAGGATTCATGTAAGAATGTTGGGAAGTATTTTAAAATGCAGTGCTTTATCTGATAAATTTAGTGTACGCTCTGTGAAGGGAATTTGTGAATTTGTGAAGATTCTGTGAAGAGAATGTACAAAGGGTAGAGTTTTCAACAGTTGCTAGCTATATGTATGCCTGGTCTTTTGCCTAATTTGAATTCTTGTGACTTTTTCAAAAACTGACTTTGACATCTGCAGGATCTTTTAAATGAAAATAACGCTTTGTCGATTTTAAAATATTCTGGTTTTGTAGTTGAAAATGAAAGCTGAATTTTGCAAAACAGTTGGATATTTTTTAATCCACTATCCTATTGCTCTCTGGATATTTAGTATATACTGATGGATTGTTTTTTATGTTGATTTAGAAGTGACTCCCAATGAGACACGCCAAGTCATAGGGGTTTTTTTGTGTTCCCTAACTGGATACATACAGTTTTAAGAATTAGCATTCTGGGATAAACTCTCACGTTTAGAAAGTCAAATTAATTTTCTAGCATTGTAGTAGATATGCAGAACGTTTTCCCTTTCAAGTAGTCACAAATGGCCAAATGGCCCAAATGTTGTCTGTTCACGTAAGACCTGGTTGGAATTTTCTTCGTCTGTTATGTAAGTAGGGCTGGTTTTTTCTCTCCGTATGTTCATTTGTACCTCAGGGAGGTTGGCTACAGTGTAAAAAGGAAAGGTCTTTCTGAGGAATGATGGCTCAATAAACTCTGTGCTTTCTGTTCAAATAATACAGTCAGTAGTGATCTGCTCCTTATAATCTGCCAGCAGGAGTGAAAGGATGGGATGTGTAAGGATTCTCAGTCCTTTCTGAACATTGCTCTTGGAGTAAAGCGTTACATGTCTTCTCTTACACTGGGTAAAAGCTAAATGCATTGTCTAACTCATACAGGTAAGAAAGCAGCCTTCAAATGGTATCACAGTTTTCTTGCTTTCATCTAGCTTTTCTTGAATTATTTTAATAGAAAAAATCACTGAAGTCCTGAAAGCACTGGGTGTTAATAGCTTAATGCAGATCTGAAAAACAGCCAAAGGTTAAAACTCGATCTTACCTGAATGTCATACATATACAAACTGTTGAAATCCAGTTAAATTCTCATGTGAGTATTAAATTACAGTGCAGCCCTGAACTGACCCTTTAAGAAGGAAACAATTCATATAATAGTGTGTTTGATGCAAAGAATGCACTACCTATAAGCATGCAAGCATTTGAACTTCATGAAGGAAAAGATACCATGACAAAGAAAGATAGTTAAAAAGGGTGAAAAGGGCATCTAAGCAAATTGGAAAAGAGGGATCCATATAAAATATGATCTGATTTATCTATCTGTTCTTTACTTTGAAAGTTGTCAATGCAAATTACAAAAAAGTAGCTGGTACAAACCTTAGTCTGAAATCTCTCTTTGATGGAAGACCATTTTAACACCTTCAGTTATCCTGAATGGAAATCTTAGCTAATGCTCAAGGTTTGATTCTTACCTTTTACTGTAATCAGCATTAAGAATATAAAATGAGAGGAATTTGCTAATTCTAGCTCTGATCATCAAACGTTAAAAAAAAAAAGCACACACATTAAACGAATCTGAATAAACCACTTTCCTAACAGTTAACCAAATTTTCATACTCTCCCTCTCACAAATAATTTCTTGAATTTAGTTTCAGTTAACTACGCTTAGTTTCTCAGGGAGTACAATGGCTCTCAAAATACTTTCCTAAGACCACAGTTTATTGATACAAAGTGTTTGGCAGCAATACTCCAGCTACTGTTGTTCTTGACTATTCAATCCTCAGTAGTGGTATATAATCTCTCTCAGTTCAAGGATTCTATCTGGCTTTAAAAGCCTGCAAAAAATGCTGGGTTTAGGCTGAACTTCACATCATTTCACTGTGCAACCTCATGAACAGTTGTGATAGAATGAAGGATGAGATGACAGAGATGCAAAAACAAATGGCCGGATGTGGGTGAGAACAAGAATGGTTGGGAATTACTGAAACTGATTTCCTCACTGAGGAAAATGTCTATGCAGCCATGCATCTGTAACACTAAGATGAGAATTTCATACTTACTCTAGTGCATTTAGGAACATCCTGAAGTATCGAGTTTTTTTGGACTCATGAAGTCTACAGATCTAATTCACTCAGAAAAGACTATCTATAGGAATAGGCATTCAAGTTGCCTGTTCAAGTTGGTTATTCACAAAACTCTTTGCTCTACAAGAGTACTACTCTATTTAGACTTGGTAGTTAATTTCTATTGATAGAGGTTAGTATTTTTTAGGCTGTGTGAGCATCTTAACCATTTTTTTCCGAGATGGCCTAATGTCCCCAGCGTCGGTGATTTGACAGCTGCGGTAAGACAGGCGCCTAGCTTCTTTAGCATGTGCATCTCCTTGTTCCAAGACTGGAAAAGTACAGATAATTTTCATCATGTATACAGCATAAGAACATCCCACTGACGGAATTCAGCTCAGGCTGTTTTCCCCGGAGAATTTTTGCCACGGAGCTCTGAAAAAAAAAAAAAAAACCTGAAACAAAACTCTGTGGTAGTAATCTCATTCAGGTTTATAAGCAGGTTTTTTTACCATCGTCCTTCACCACCTCTTACCATTTATGCATCCTATCGGGTCAGTTTTTCATACCTTTTGATCTTGTATAACAACAGTAATACAGAGGTAGAGGGAACACTGAACACTGTCAGGTGCTAAAGGGTCAAAGAAAGAAAGCAAGAGAAAAAAGGTGTTTGTTGATATGAAAACTGTAAATTTAGCAGTACTTGAATCAGAATTTTTAGCTAGTAGGCTTTTGTGTTGATTCGGTTGCTGTTTTGGATAATATGCTTAACATACATAAACAGGTCTTTAAGTACCTAGATAGAGCTAAGACTGAGTTCATATTTTTTGTCCTCTCAGGAAACTTTTCCAGTACTAACCTCTGAAACCACTTACTGTTCACCAAAAAGGTGAATTCTTAAAGGCAGACTAGGTGAAGTAGAATTGTAGCAACAGGAAAGGAAGAGGAAACATATTTCATGGTGCGAGACAAGGAAATTGTAAGAACAAGGAGCCCATAAAATGTCTTAAAGTAAATGGGAGAATGGATAGATGAGGAAAAAAAAAATCAATAAAAACCTTCAAAAGATGTCTGCAAAGCTAAGTAAAAGCTTTTATATTAGCCATTGATTCAGGAGTCTGAGGCAGAAAAAGGCTAGCACAAGGTATTGGCTTCAGTTAGTAAAGCACTTGCTATTATGCTAAGAAAGAAAAGTCTAGGAGAAAATTCTGGGCCTGTCTCACCCACCCAAAAAATCAGCCTTTGTCATACATGGATGCTGTACAGTGTCAGCAGCTGTTTATACCTTCCTTCCTGTTTATACCTTCATCAACAGTCAAAGGCCATCAAAAGGGCTGAAGATCAAACATATATAAGTGCACTTCATGATCTGTATTTGTACACTAATGTCTTGAGAGATCATTACATGGCCACTGCAAAGAAAAATAGAACATAGAGAAAAATTACATTTTGAGCACCATGTACAATGCAGGCAGAATTCCTGTGTTAGTCTTCATTCATTTTGTCATCTCATTTCACGGTGATTTGAATGTGTCCAAATGGATTTCTCTTGAGTGCTGCATGCATTTTAGAGGAAAAAGATTCTGTTTGTCAGTAGAAATAGGCAAAAAAAAAAAAAAAAGTTGTGATATACAAATATGAGAAAGAGATATTAAAGTGTAAAAATAAAGGAGGAAATGTTCGTTCTCTGCTCTTCCAAAAGAGCATAGTGAAAGATGGGACAATCAAATGTTCATTTACAGAGTTAAATAATTGCATCTCAAATTCTCAATACAACTTTTTTGTGTATGTTTTTGACTGTTAAAAGAATTCATCAGCTTCCCTTTATTTCTTGCTAGTAGTGTTAGTCTGCACATCCTATCAGATACCAATAAACTTGCATTCTTTTCAGCCTGTATTCATGTTGTCTTAGAGGAAGATGATCTCACGGTGTGTTTAAAAGTACCTTTTTTCTAATAAAACAAATACATGTGAGAGTTGGGCCTGATTCTGTAATGGTAAATATTTTACTAAAATCCTGAGCGTAACCATACAAAATGAAGCTAGCTAGGATTTTATTGCTAGTAGAGGTGAGTTAGTCTTTTACAAATACATACTATTGCCTGGACAAGTGATTTCTATCTCTGAAGACTGATTTTGGTCACATACATGGCATTAAATTGCCACTGAGGAAAAAAAGTAGCAATAATTAGAGCTAGAAAACTGCATTTTGCATTATAATGCACATGCATGCATATGAACAAGCAACTTATCAGCTGACGATTTATGTTGTATGTTCTCAGAGTTTCAAGACAGACTGAGTGGTAATTACTTCAGGGTAGAAACTCAGAAATAGTTAGGTGATGCAACAGCTAACCTGTCTAGAAATGTCTAGAAAAATCCAAACAGCCAAATTTAGATAACCTGATGCTGATGAGGAACAGCAGAACCTGGAGATGAAATCTGATGGAGTAGGCAGAGCCTAATTCACACCTGCATGTGTTGAAATAAAGGGAAGCTTACACCTTCTCATGTATTTTTTCAGACAGTCAAAACCAAACACAAATATAATTTTGGGGGGGTACTTGAGATGCCCTTTTAGATTACTCTCCTGGTTATGAGGACCTACCTCCTTCTGTGCTGACTCTAGCACTTGTCAAACTTCTTTTTAAGGCAATTTAGTTCAATACATTGAGGGAAAATCTTATTTTTTTTTCTAAGTTTTCTGCTGGCTTGGTGGTAGACTAAGGAGCAAAAATGCTTCTGAATCCAGATCCCATCCCTGATTCTTGTGATCCTATTGGGGATTGAGTGCTTTTGTTAATATAAATGGGAAGAACGTGCACTGCAATGACAGTTACATATCAGTTTACAACACCACAATCAAACACACTCTCACTCCAGAATTTTAGAATTCTACTTGGCAAAAATTACTCTTTTGAAGACAGTAAGTCAAGGAAGTTTTTAGGAAAGTACAGTAAGACAAAAGATGTAAGATGATGGAGGATCAGGCTGGATGATTTTATATTTTGGAAGAAAGTGTTTTGTTGTTCTACTAGTTGCCGTTTCCGGTTGCACTGGAAAGCGAAATTAAATAAGCACCACCATCTAGCTAGTATCTGAGTTTTCCTTTTACAACTGTGAGAAAGTGATTTGGACAGCCAGCAAGTTCACTTGTGCATGTAGGTGCGGAAGCACTTTCACAGATCTGGACAGTGGTGATGTTTAGAGCGAGAACGTAGCCATCGTGTCTTTACGAAGGGACAACAGCCTCTTCCACATTGAGGCAGTGTGTACTTTAAAATATGATTTCTACTCTTTCACGTCTTTGCTAAAACAATTCAACAAAAATATGGGAGGCAGGTTTTTGTCTAAAACTTGCCATTGTTACATTTACAAGTTCTTGCCTTTTTTGCTATCTCATATGGCAAGGTTGTCTGAATCTAGACTTTATCGACAAGATTTCCTTACTCAATCAGACCTCAGCGAGGGTTTTGATTTTATTTTAGTAGTGATGCATTCCACCTTAAAGTCTGAGAATAGTAGTTTAATGGGCAGCCATGCAAAGATAAGATTTTTGTTATCATCCTGTAGATCTCCTGAAGTTTACAAAGAAACAGAGCTGTCCTGTAACTTTAAAGAAAGATGATGATTTCAGAAAACTCCAAGTTATTTCAGGAACTTTAAAAGGACTTCTGGAGAGAAGTCAGTTATATTACTTCTGCTGTAACTCAAACATATTATGGAGTTTAGTAGTAAAAGCAGTTTCTGTACAAAAGATCTCATGAGAAGGTCAAAACATACAGTCTCTACCTGAAGACCAGACATTTCTAAGTCTGCTAGAATAATTTAGAAAAAGGCGGGATAAATTTAAAAAAAGCATATGATTGAGAAAGGATTATGCTCTGTGATCTGCAGTTTGGCAAAGAAGAAAAAAATCCAATGTAAGCAAAAAGCTTTAAGGTGTTTCAACACTTACTCTGTGAGAACGTAAAAGCAGTAAGATACAGGTGCAAAAGCAATTGTATCCCAGTAAGCACAAAGTTACTACTAAAATTTCTTCTAGTTCAGGTGAAATTTAGAATTCAATATAAAATAACACTTCCTGTAAAAGTACTAATGGGAAACATAATATGCTTTTCTTGGCTGACAGAGCAGAAAAGAAACTTAGAGGACTTACTCTTGCTTTTTCTTGAAAGCTGGATTGTGAGAAGAAAGGGATGAATGTTGAATATATTGATTGAGATATCTGGTAACCTGTGAATACAGCTCAATGTATAGAACAATACGCCTTTTTTGCTTATCTTCCACCAAAAGTTTAATATTTGCTCTCTTATTTCCTTAATAAAGGTGAGAGTTACACCTTAAAAAGTTTCCGAATGAAATAATGTATTCGGTCTCTGTGTCTTTTGGTCATCAACTATAATCCACTACTCAGGATCTGACTACATTGTACTGATGCAATTGCATTATAGCACCAGGTGGGAGGATCATTTTTCACTAAGAAAAAAGAAAGAACTACTCTAAAGCACAAGTACAGTGAAGTGCTGAGCACAACAAATAAGTAGCCATCCTTTGAAGCCTTTCTCTTTTAATGATTACACTCCCTATTTAAATGCGTATGCTGTACTTATTAGGAAAGACACTGTCGTTCAACAATTTTCTAATTTACAATACTTATTCCTTCCCCTTACCAGACAGTCCATTTCCAATACACTATTTTAGAAAGGCAAATATTAGCAATAAGGTGTATTTGATAATGGAGCTATGTTATGCTGTTTATAAAATCACAGCACAAACATTCTGGAGCATTTTGTAAAGCTGTGTTATTATTACCTGATGGTTTCTCAACAGTTTATTATTACACACAATATATATAAAAATTACTACTGTTATTACTACAAAAAGGACAATGAAAGCTCAACATATAATTTCTGGAAAACTCACTAAAAAGTTTTCTCATGATTTGGTCAGTTTGTCACAAATGCTAAATGAAGCTTTATACAAACATTTTCTTGACAGTAACTTTTCAGTACCTTGGCCCATGTTACATTAAAGAAATTTCCGGTAGTTACAGGACTCAGTAAATGCTAGAAAACTGTTAAGGAAAATTACTAAAATTAGTTTTATCTGTTTTCACATTTCACCTTCTTTGAAATGGAAGAATAAGACATATAGTTACAAAATGCATATTTAATAGTTATAAAAACTTAAAAGCATGTGAAAGTCTTTTAATATTAAAGGACATAAGTAAAAAATCGCCAGTTCTTGTCAGTAAAATAACTATTTACCTTTTTATTTAGATATATTCTATACAAACTACGTTAAAATAATAGCTTTAATGTTACACATTCATGCATTTAAATTAGAAAATGCCCAAAGCAGAACTGACAGTCATGTTCCCTTATGTACTTTTTTTAGTTACATGCTTTATAGTAGCTTTCCTGCCTCAGCAAAAGTTTGGAGAGCCTCCCTGTCTTTTCCTTAGAAAGTAAAATGACAGCTGCAAAATAGTAACGTGCCTTTCTGAATATTACTATTGATTCCCAGAGAGAAAAACACAAAAAAAGATGAGTGTCTTTCAGCCGTGTGATTCTGCTGTACTGCCATGGCCTAATGCCGTTCAGCAATACCCTTTTGTTCTGAAAGCATAAACATAGTACAGTAACTAGAAACTTAATAGTGGAAAAGATGATGCTGCTCTAAAAATATCTGGGCTAAAGAACTTCAGGAGGTGCTGTAGGTCCTCAGCCTTTTGGTTTGTTTGATGTTCAGACACTAACACTTAGGTCTTACTTTAATGAACGGTGCATTACTAGTATTATCTGAACTGCACAGCAAGCTTGTGTACCAAGAGATAAGGTCTGTTAGATCTGGGAAGATATCAGAGTAGAAAACAATGCAGGAGTGTCCTAAGAGAGCTGTTTTGATTTTGAGGTTCTGCAACAGCTCAGTGACCTGTTTTTTTCTTTTTACCTCAATGCAGCTTCCACCTGAAAGTCCACCTGAAAGCAAAGCCACCTCAAGAGCGTGGGAAGTTCAGTCACTGTGTGCAAACGATCAAATACTATGACTTAAGGTATCTTACACTGAAAATGCTCCATAGATACTAGTTTTCTATCTGAAAGTTTGCTAAAACATCCTTCATAGTATCTGAGGTACAAGCACTTACAATCACAGAACCAAGGAGAACCCCTGCCCAAAATCCTGTAATGGGTTTAGTAGGATGCAGTCATATCATCTTGTGCTAGATTTTGCTCTATCTCCCCGGGTACACATTTCAACTGTACCATAGTTCAGATGTGGTTTTGATGGCTTTATGACGAAATGCTGCAGGAAATGAAGCTGATAATTCAGGTGATAAATCCTCCCAGGGCAATACAAGCCCAGTACGCTGGCATGCTATTGAAAGAAACTCGACTAACCTAGCTGTTCGGTCAGATAAAATAAAATAAAGGTCTGCTTAGTTTTCAGTCATGGCAGTTCTTTTATGTTTTGTACTTTGCATGTACTTGAGCAGGAGGAGTTCAGCAGCGTGCAGGTCGGACACACTTGCATCTTTCCTGTCCATATATAACCATTACCAACTGACTTCACTGAACCTAAATCACAGATGATGAACTTTCTGGTTCATCACGTACCCATTGCCAAATTTCTTTAAAAGGTCAAATGTGGATGCTGTCACCTAAATTTCTATGGGCATCAAACATGGCATCAATGGCAGTGGCCTGCCATAGTCGATCCAGATCATGAAAGAAGGAATAGCAAGAGGGAGGGAGGGCCGTCAGCATACGCAGAACATCTAGAACCACCTGTTACCGTAACAGCACTAGATATTGCTTCTTCAACTACATGTAGGTACGGAAGTCAGTCCTGTTGTTTGCTTTTGAAGGTGAAAGACTCAAAAGTCACTCGAAGGAGGATTTAAGAGCTGCTCAGTCAAATTAATCATCTGACCTCAAAGCTGGGATCAGATAATAATGTTTAATGAACATACTGATTGAATTCCAAGCAGCTGCTGTACGTAGTTCCAAATTAGCACTGGAGAGTTGTGCCCTGCTGTGCTCTTACACTAGCTGGACTATCATATTAAACATTATACGCTATCTGAATGCAATCAGAAATCCACTCATAAATTGATACTGTTGGCCTCTTGCATTTGCTAAATCTTAAGGTTGTACTACAAACACTTAAAAGAGCTTCCAAGGTACATAAATTCATTGCAACAGATGCATGGGATTTTTAAAAATACTGGTAAATATTGGCATTAATTATCTCTGAACGTAGGTAGGTCTTACTAGCTTTTTGCCTTCATGAAAAATTCCAAATAACGGTCTGTAAGGGAGTATGGCTCCATCTGAAATGATTACCACTAAACCGGTAGTTTTAAAGAAGAGGGTAACCTCAATCTGATAGTCATCATAGCAGTAAATTAGAGCTCCAGTCTCTTGGAAGTGGAAACTCCAGTTTCAGTCCTCTGAGGAATCTATTAATTCTCTAATTAAAAAACAACAAAAAACAAAAACAAAAACAAAAAAAACACCACAGAGGTCTTTTTCTACTGGAGAGCCGTGTCAGTATGGCTACCATGCATGGACTTGTAATGATTATAATTAGTGGCATAGACTCCTCTTGTTTATTACACTACTTCCAGGATCATTCAGAAGGAAAAATACACTAACTTGCAAAGTATAATACTTCTTTGTCTGCAGACTGGAAGATGTTGATGCTTTCCAGGAGCAGTAAACTGTCATTCTCCCAAGCTGTCAAGTAACTTGCAACAAACTCTGACACAAAAATTTGTTGTGAATCTTTTTAACGCATACAGAATCCAAACTGCCCTTAGCAGTTTGAAAGAGAAAAAAGATGGAGCTGCATTCATAACTAGGTCAAGACCAATGTAGGTCTATACTGAAAAAACGTGCAGGTAACGCAGGAGTTTCCAATTGTAGCATGGCCAGCGTTGCTAGTACACAGAGCACTGCACAGAGACAGCTTCTGCAGGCCTGTTCAGAAGTTGACCTGAGCTGCAAGATACTCACTCGCCTGCACAAAGGCAGTTAGAACCAGACAGCTGATGAGAGCGGAGGCAGACAGGCAAGAAGACAGTCCCGGCTTGTGGGTGTGGGACTGGTATTCCAAAGCGCTAGACAGAGACTTCAGATCCTAGTTTGACCGTTTGCAATAGGGAGAAGAGGTTGGAGGCACAGCACAGAATTAGCACCCACAGTTGTAGCAGCACTAATGACTACAGGCAGCAGCTGCTGTCATGGCTGATGATATTCTACATTCTTATAAAGCAGAGCAAACATAGCTTTCTATAGATTTGTGTCAACCACACGTTATGGCAGTGACAATGGAATATGCAAAATACAAGGGACTGGCATGATCTGCAATGAATGCTAATTAAAAAAGTTTCACCCTATAATCATTACTGTAAGAACCATTTTACATCTTAACGTAAAATATTTGCTGTAAAACAAATCCAGTGAAAAGATCATCAAAACCGTATTCATTTTAATTTTACTGACAAGACCTTATTCTTCTATATGTGCCTTCCTAAATTTAAAAAAAAAAGAAATAAATTTTTGAAATTTGTTAAAACAACTTTGAGAAGTTTCTCCATGAATGTAAATGCATTTTAATCACCTATCTTCAAAGGCCTTTCCATGAGTTGACAACAATCGCGTAGGTATTTTTGATTGCAGTTTTTATTATGAACAAGACAAAAATATATATGAAGAAAGAGACTGGACCCAGTGTATCAGACAGTTAAAAGTTTTCACATCTATACTTTTAATATATTCAATATTTTATAAATTCAGATATTTTAATCAGGGATTTTTATAAAAGTATACCGATGTAGTTTCTTGGAACCACTACGCAACTTTCCAGAACACCATAGCATCTACTTGAAGAAATTTTAACTAGCTTCCAATCACTGCGCTTAAGAGATCACCTTCATGGTATGAAACCACCTTATCTTGGAAGCATTTTGCATTTGGTTAAAACCGTTTAACTTCACATAACTTTCTCTACACAACTCTTTCTTTACCTGCTTGTAAGATTTCCAATTTTTTTTTTTTTTTTTTTTTGTTCCTGTGACTTCAGTCTCCTCCAATCTAGTACAATTTGTGGATTCAATGAATGGACAGTCTTTTATACAATAATGAAAACAACTGGCACGATTTATTGTATTTAAGATGTTGTTTTAAAGCCATTTGTTTGGTCCGTCATTTTTTAGTCCATGTGACATCACTTATATTGAATTCAGCTGCATTACTAATTGAAACAGTAAAGTAGCTTTGCATATACAGTTAGGTCAGTCACTAAAGCAAATGTTCATTGAATGGGCAATATTATATACATGAACTTGAAAGATACTTTAATAACACATTTTAAAATACAAATTTAACAGGTTATAAAAACCTGCATATACAAGCTATGGTGTATAAAAGAGATATCAGTGATTTCATCTCTAATTGTAACATAAAACGTTTTTTTCATGGTGAGTTTTTGAACATGAAAATTATATTTGCCCTTACAATAGTTTCTGCAAAAATGCTATACAAACCCGGTTTTGATAAACATTCTTACCCATAAATTATATCCATCGGGGAAGAATTTCAATACAGTAGGCAGCAATTATTTTCATTGCCTCTTGAAAGTTGTATAAAAAATAGACATTTTCCATAAAATCAAAAAATAAAATATCTGAAAACAAAAATGCAGCACATCCCAAGTATTCTGTGATAAATTTTTTAAAAAGAGGAGGAATCCAGGAAAGTCTTAGAAGTTAAATTCTGCTCTCACATACACAAACAATTTAAATTGAGACCAATGAACATAGTGTTTGCATACCTTGACAGAAGAATTAGATTCAGTCTGCAAGTCTAAAATGCAAATGTTATGAAAGTTTGAAAACTCTTACTTCAGGAGTTTAACTTTGTCCTTTAAAACTCTAAATTTGGGATTGTTACTGACTTTCTTATTAAATATGACTAGAATATCCTCTTCTGATCTGTGATGTTCACCAGCTACTGCATAATACTGAGCTATAACCTGCACAAACAGAAAGGAACAGTTTTGAGTTAACAAAGATGATTCAATTTTAGCCAACAATACATTCACATCACTGAATTAACAGTGGCAAGGAAGCTATTATGATATTAATCCTTGCAGAATTAGCACTGAATTTCCTCTGTATCCTGGTGAGGTCTAAAGAACATGTCCAGTTGCCGTACTATCAACTGCTCTTCTGTTAAATAACATTAAGCTTTTTTGTTTATATGGGAAAGGATTTTACAAAGATAAGCATTGTAAAAAAAAAAAAAATTACCAGACTAAAGTGGATTAAAAAAGGAATATAGTACTGTACCTTTTTTCTTAATTTTTTAATTGAAATTTCGTTGTCTGGAGCCTGTTTCAGAACAGCTTTGATGGTTCCTTTCCAGTTGAATTTTCCTACAACACAATTAGGCACATAACAGCATTAATAATATTTGATATCTCCAGGGCTCCTTCCCTAGCAGGAACTGACTTTCAAACTAATTTTAGAACCAGCTCAGCTGTCAGGATAGTTCATTGCTGTCTTTCTGACCCTGCAACAGCAGAATGTCTTCAGCGTAAAGGCAGGTAGGTTGTTTCTGAAAATTACTAATAGGATAGCCACGAAGAACCCTTAATGTACTACTTGAACAACTAGGCTCAGGATGGCAACAGTAGCCAGAATAGCAGAAGCAACATACGAGGGAAGTAATTCAGCAACAAGTATACCTGTAGCATAGGCTACTTTCTCTGGAGAAGATGTTATGTATGTTATGACTGAGGCATAATTTATTGCATGGCCTGCTGCAAAAATTGTGTATTTACATACTGCATACATAACATTTGCCTTTTGGCAAAATAATAATGAAATAATTTGATAGGTTCATGACTGTCCAGAATTCTCCTTTAAGAATACCTTTATCTGTTCCCACGCTTTCACTGGCATTGGTGTTTTCTTCTGTTCCTACATCTCCTGAAACATTTTCCTTTTTCATTTTCTTAGCTGTGATACGAGGTTCCTCTAGCAATGAAACAGTATAAAAAAAAACATACACAAAGAAATGAGAAAACTTAGACGAAAACTTCAAATGTGACCGAAAAAGTTTCTGTTCTTGTAACAGGAGGTTGCATTTGCTCAGAGGTTCAGATTTTGTAAAAGGTAAGGACTGCGCAAGCACAGTGTTAAAAAAATTTATATGTAATTTATGTATTACTTAAAATATTCTCCTAATGTAGGCTGCTGAGCTTTAAAGGCATTACAACAAGTCCTCTCTTGAAAACAAGCAATAATATGAGTATAATGATTAAGATACATACCTTCTGCATGTTTACGTTTGCGTTTCTTTACATTTGTTTCTTCTTCCGTTTCACTTTGATGGCCATTTCCATTTATTTCAAATTCATTCTCTATGCTTTCCTTTCCTTTTTTGGACTTTTTATTCTTTTTTGTTTCTGAGCTTGCTAGCTGGTTTTCTAATTTCAGTTCTTTTTTCTCCTTCTTTTTGTTCTTTTGTCTCTCTTCTTTTCTTTCTCTCTTATTTTTTTTCCTCTCAGTTTTATCATCTGTAATTCCATTTTCTTCTCCAATTGTTTTTTTCCCACTTTCTGCAGACTGGCCTTCTTCCTTCTGTTGTGGCTTGTCTTGTTTTTTTTCACTTGAAATCTTTTGTTGAAAGACAGGTTGTTACAATTTTACATGCCTTTTTGACAGAGCACCTTTTCTCTACTATACGATTCATGAAGAATACTCATATCCTGAAATCAAGCAAGTTTGTTTCTCACGGTGACCCCAGTTATGTGGGAAATAGCAATAAACAGTGTGGCTGATAAGTCTTTTAATTTAACAGCCTAAATGCTAATTACCGTAACATCACAAGAGAAATGTTATTTTACAACAGATATCATTTCTTGTTCTACTTAATTTTGTTTTTCGGTATATCACAATACATCTTATATTATATATCAATACATTAAATAAATCACTTAGACGTTTACATCCACTATTCACAGGATGTTTAAGCACAGCATCAGAATTTCCAGGAACACAAGATTTATGTGAAAACCAAAAAAACCGAATAATGTGAGACAGAGCATGAGGTACGCTTCCTAAATTAAAATAACGCAGTTATCAGGCAAAGACACCTCTCTGAATGACCACTGTTAACCACAACATCAGAACACAAGCAATGGGGAATGTGCAGATCAAATAAATGTTTATTTTTTTTAATATGGATTTGCTGAATTTAATTAAGAGGAGATAACTCTTTTTGATTTACGCAGACAAAACGCAGCGTATCACAGGAAAATACGGCAGCCATGCCCAAACATACAGGACTCGAGTAACAACGTTATTTTTGTCCTGCAATTTGCTGCCTTGGGATACGTCTGAGACTACAAAGTCTATTAATGCCTGATGTCAGCAAAGGCAGTGCTGGTACTTTCAGTTGTACTTTTCTCACCTTAACATGTTTGGATTTATTCCTGGGCTTATAATAATTTACTTGAAGAAGAATTAATACATGAACAAACATTTTTATCTTTGAATTACTAAATCTGAATGTTAACGTGGATGTTTGGAAAGAGAATACATGCTTATATAAGCAACTTAATACTGACATGTTTTTCATGGCAGTGATCTCAATTCAATTTAAATTATATTTAAAAATTGTGCTTTAGAATACATACAACACTTCAAACCTTGTATTACAAAGCGTATATATACTCGTAAAAGTGGATTGAAAATGATCTGAGCAAGAAAGTTGACACATATTAAGTGAATGTTGTATTCTACAGAAAATTTAAATTGTTTACCTGTACTTACGTAATTGTTCAGATTCAAGATTTATTAAAAAGAATCAGTTTAAATTGAGATTGAGCTGTTTATGGCTTTATTGAATTTGTAGCAACTCCATATTAATATTCTAGCAAGAAAATATAGCTGAAATTCAGTGCCCACAGTTTATTATTCATATCCTTAAAAAAACATATTTCTTCCCTTCCTGTCCATGTATATGGATTCTCCAAAAAAGCTACAAACAACAGACTTAATTAAAATCTTTGTCAGAATCATAAAATTAGGAACAGCATGATTAGCAAGGGATTTGTATCTAAGTTATGCCTGCACTCTTCTTCAGGGGATGACTGGGGGAGGAGGGGCAGTGTCTTTACATCAGCAGAGAAGTAAGGTTCTGTAACAGCTTTCCAGTAGCAGTAATAGATGTAACAACCAAAACAACCCAACAAAACTATAAAAACTTACTAAGATAATTCTGAAATAGCGAGGAAGTAGACACAGAGAAAGAGGTCAGCGGGAATGCAGAATCTGGAAACAGCAGTGGGAGGAATTTACACCACAAACTGGAGGACCCCATCTCTCTCCACTAACTCTATAAAAGGCTAGCTAAATTAGGTGCTGTTAATTTCCTACTCCGATTACATACTGATTTGAGACCAATACAGGTCTGAAAATAGGTTGTTTTATTCCTTCTTAGTGTATGGTAAAAGACTGGAATCAAAGATGATTAACAAAAGCATTATTTTTTTCTTTTCCTTATGTATTAGTAGCATAGGGCAAAGTTATATTAGCTTTCTGATTAGTATAATCTTGTCACTGTGTCCATGCTTTATCATAACCTGCCCAGTATGCACAGCTACTTCAGCAACAATATGCTCCTCAATTTTATAATTCAGTCTGGGTATATTACAGTGTAACACATGAAAAACAATCCGTTGTAACAAGGAGAGACAATGCTTCTGCTAAGAATTCCAAAAGGAGACTGAAAGGTTCTCCTAGCATTTTTCACTGCATTTTTTGGTAAGATTTCGTACGTCTAACCTAACTTACATTTCTGGTTGCTTCGGAAAAAATGTCCCACACCTGGTCTTGCAAAGTGCCGTCAGTGATTCTCAAACTGTTCTTCATCCAATTCTGTGCAGGAAAAAAACAACAGTAGTTTACAGGGTGTATTTCCTATTTTATCTTGATTACCATATATGTGATTCTTAGCAAAATCTGGAAATTAATCATTTCTTCTGATGAAGATATGATTAGATGTTTACTCCCTATGAATCCCTTAGACTTCTATGCTAAATTGTTTAGCACAGTGCCTGCATGTCGTTATCAGCCAATGGCATACCTCTCAATTGGCTCGCCAGGAGTAATCCAAAACAGTCAATATAAAAAAAATAAATTATCCTCAAATTTTTGAATAAGGCTGGCTACATTAATCTCCTTCTAAACCTTTTGACTGTTTCTGTTAGTTAAAATACTAAGGATTATATTTGTTTATTATTACTTACTTATTTTTTATTGGACAAGTGATCGTGCGCCTAAATTAATAGTTTATTACAGAAAAGTAAAATTTAAACAAGTCTCTGACTGTAAACATTTGAAAGTTGGGGCTATTGCAGGACTTCCCACTGTAAATGAAAACACAGCAGCAAATTTCTATTTACAGTATGCTCACACTATCATCGCTAGACCAACTTTCAGAAATGCAGAGTTCTAAATAAAACCTAACGTGAAGATTTTTGCACTGGAACCAGCAGCCTGGGAAAACTATGCTACTGAAGTGGAACAATTCTCTACAAAACTGTTAATCCTCCACTGCAACGTGTCTTATCAAAAAGAAAAAATTTTCTCGACAACACCATTTCCTTTGCTTAGAACATTAATTTTGTAAAAAACTATTCTAACCTTCACTCTCTAGCAGCATTTCACCGCAGCGCTAGTATGTTCTATTTGGATGATCTGGAAGCAATCATGGTCTTCTCTCAGCCTCACAGTCTGAGGCACAGAACAGAAAAAAAATAGGTTCACTTGTCAGTAATTCTTTATCCATACCACATAAAACATTTGGAATCTGCTGTGGCCGTGAAGCAAAAATTCAGTGAAGTATCTTCTGCGGGAGACTCAGTCAGAAGGCTGAGCAACAAGAAGACTCCCACAGGAACAGTATTTTGCCTTTACAAGGCAGAAACAAAAGCACAAATATAAGAATTCTTTTAAAGCATGTCTAAGAATTTGGACACCCAATAAAAATAGCAAATAGAAAAAAATGGTATTAAAAAAAGAACGAGCTTGCAAACAAAGATTATGCTCGCATGGCTCCAAGTCTGACGACCAACTCTGTGAGTCTCTTGCTCATTACCTAATGAAAATTGCGTACGCTAAGGCCTTTTATGCAAAGAAAAATATTTTACAAACACTGCCTATTTGCAGCATGGCTATTACACATCCATTTACAGATGCTCTGGTAAGCAGTTTGTACAATCTATTAGCAAGAGCATGGCACTTGCTAAGAAAGTCTGTTTTTAAGTTCACTGCCTGGATCACTAAAAAGCTCTCTTAAAACATACCTGAAATTTTACTTTTTTTCTTGGAATATTATCAAAGACACGCATTTGCTCCAAAACGTTCCGCACTTTAGGGCTAATGTTGGGCTTCTTCATTACTTCATGAATTTTCTGAATGAAGAAAATCAAAATTAAATCACGGAAGATGCCTAATGATCAAATGATGTATGCAAGGTGTACAAGTCAGACACACGTAGGACAGAAATCACCTAGTACCAAAGACTTTATAGCCTGCTGAAAGTGTACAATAAGCATAAGAAAAACACTGAATTTTAGTTTTATCGTAAGAGCATGGAAGTGTCAAAGTTATCTGTACAAACATTTACAAATATACTCAGTGAAGGAAAGAGGACTGCTCCTCAATGCTTGCTGATACACAAGTTGCAATCTAAATAAAAACATTTTTAATATTTAAAAGTATCACATCCAGGAATTTCACACTGTGAAAAGGACAGTACTAGTAACAGGAAAAGACACTCAACTGACTGGCTCTTGTTGTGAAAAGCAGGCTGTCTTCGAGGACAATTTGAACTGCACTTCTTTTCACAGCCCTGCCAGCTTCAACAGCCATTAATGCCCCTACAGACCGCTCAGGCTTATTTCTATGCTACCTGTGCAAGCACAACAGAACAGTGGAGGAGGTTAGGCCAGGGCCTTGTGGCAGAGTTCTTTAAATCAGCACTGCCGCTTGGGGGGGCAAAAAAAGTTCATGCTATCTTGTGAGCTTCCCCTGACCTAAAAACGTAGCGAGTGGACACTGGAGAACCTTCCTGTACTTCTGATCATCTGCTACTGAAAGGTTTCGTCAAACTGCCAGACTACCTAGACAAGGATGCTTTGTAATAATCCATCCTTGATCTGTGCAGAAAGCACTTATTGCAGACGGCTTAGACAAGGATGCTTTGTAATAATCCATTCTTGATCTGTGAAGAAAGCGCTTATTGCAGACGGCTAACAACATCATTGCAGCAGCATCGATATCAGGCTGCCTTGGAGAAAAGCACTCAGACAACATGCAGTCTCAACAATGACACTGATCTCGTTGACTTTAGTGGTATTGTTCATATGCCCTGAATACGCATGTAGCTCAGTTCTTCGGTGGATTGTGCTCTTAGTTTACAGCAGATAATTATGTCGGAGATACTAACTGCTGTCAAGTGTACCACTAAACCACACAGAAAATGACACAGGATCATGCAGTTCAAAACTTGTATCTCCTTATTAGCATCACGGCATGTATAACTAATATCGTCCTCTCTATAGCTTATCTTGTGACCTGATAAGATCTCAAAAATCTTCCCTTGACTTCTTACTGGATTTGGGGTGTTTGTTTTTACTTCCTTGTACATCATGTGACAAACACTTCTTCCGGGAAAAGAATTAACTGTCACCTCCAGCCCCCTAAAAAGCAGAGCTAAAATGCGTTGGCCTACTCCACTGAGGTTTAAGGCCTGCTATGTTTGCAAAGCTGTCTCCATAAAAGCAAGGCCAGAACTTAAAAGTGCCTTATTGCTGAGGCACCAGGACTACCCACTTTTATTTTCTGATAGTTATTTAGAACATGCATTATTTTTTAAGATACAGCAAAACAAATGTGCTTGAAAGATGGAAACAGCCTTAAGATGCCTCACATGAGACCTTATCTAAATTCTGGAAGGTAATAACTGTGATACCAATTTTTTAAAAAGGGTTCTGGGAGACGAGCTAAACTCCCCAATGAGGTCTTTAAAATATATTTGAGATTTCCTTCCCAAAAGCTTTTAAGAAAACTAAGAAGCCGTAAGAGGGTAGGTTCTCGCATAGGATAAATAACTACTTGAAGGGTAGGACAGAAGGGGTGGGAGAAAATAGTCTTAACAATACAGATTTCTGCAATCCATGCTGTTCAACATATTAACAAAAATCTAAAAAGAGGGTGGGAAACTTTTCCTCATGATACGAAGCTATTCAAGATGAGGACTGTGAGGAGTTTCAGAGAGACCTTACAAGAATGAAGGACTGGGCAACAAAAAAGTGAATTAAATTCTACAAAAATTAATGTAAAGTGACATGCACAGGAAAACCAATCCTAACTTCACATGTAAAATGGCAGGCTTGAAGTTGACCAGTGGTGGTGCTTAGAAGCAAGATCTTGGGCCAGCTCCATGAAACTGTCAAAAATGATCAGCAGCAAAAAGGTGGCGATGAAAAGCCAAAGATCATTCGAAAAGGGATAGAGAAGGAAACAGAAAACAGCATTATGACACCGTAAATCCATGGTTCATCCATATCTTGAAAAGTATGCGTGCAGTTCCGATAACCTCGTCTCAAAAGGGATACAGTAGAACCGGGAAAACTTCAGACAGGGGCAAAGATGACCACAGATATAATTTACATATGAAGAACAAGTGAGCAGGACAGGACTTCTCAGACTGGAACAGAGATGATGGGGTAGGGCAGGAGGGACGTGTGACAGAGGTGGACAAAAGCGTACATGGCACGAAGAGGGTGGACAATGACCAGTGAACACCTCTTTGTATGCAAGACCCAGGGGACATTACATGAAACTAGTATGAGACAGAATCAAAACAAACAAAAGGTATGTTTATTACCAGGAATAGTAATAAAACCGCTAAAAAATTGCCAAAAGAATGTTGTGAATATTTGGAAAAATGGATCTTGGGTCTGATGTAGTATAGCCTCTCTTAGGTCTTTAATAAGCAGAATTAACAGTTATTTATTATACCTGTATCTACAATGTTACCTGAATCCACTCCTGTTGTTTAGCATCTCCTTTGTTAGTTTTGGCTTCAAAATCTTTACCACCATATTTCTGGTCTTCGCTTATGCACTTCACATGGTCCTTATAATCGTCACCCCTGAACATAAGAGATTTTTAACTGTAGTTCACTAAAGTATTTCAGTAATCAGGAAACTGAAGTAACAGGCGAAGTAATAGGTGTCATCATGTATATTTAAGCCTCAATACTGTCAACACACTTATATAAGTAAAGTTCAGCACGCTTAAAGTACACGCTTACAAGACTGCTTACATTTCATTGTGTTACACCCTTCAGTGGAAATTTCTGATAGGCAAAATGAGATCTGAGTCTTCAGTATACTGATGCTTTTATTTGTCAGTCTGTAACTTTTGCACATTAGTACATGTAATATTTGCTTACCTTTGAAAAAGTTATTAGCAGATGCTTGTGTTTTGCTGCTCACATTAGTAGACACATTGTAAAATTAGAAAAATAGATTTAATAAGTCTTGTGAAAGCCTAATTCCTAGACACAGATACAGTAATACAGTACTACTGTACAGTTAAGTGATCTTTTTCTGATCAACACGTGCCTCCAAAAAAGGAATTCACAACACAGATCCTAATCTTTTGTTAGTGAATTACTGAGAAATATAATAATTCTTTCACAGGATAATCTCATTTTCTTACATAAATTAATTCACACATTCATATTTTGAAAGCAGATAGTAGCACTGCTTTCTTCTGAGTTCAGAGAAATTACAACCATGTTTAGAAAGTTGGAAGCTACAGCCAATCTCACTCTCTGCAGTAGCAGAAAAGATAATGGTTGTTGATGATCAGAAGCTGAAGGTACTGTCACTTTTAACTGTAAAAGAAGAAACTGCAACTCTGCTTACATTGTCTTGGTCTTACTTTGGTCACATATTACAATGGGTAAAAACAGCAGCTACTAACTTCAAAGGGTCTGGAGTCACTCATCTGTTCAAGCTGCTTCTCAATACAACGTTTTGGAAATTTCCAATTTCCCAAACCACAAAAAGATTTAAATTTTAGTATTTACCTGTGTGACATAATATTTAAGCAAGGATGACGTAGCATCTAGCAATGTCCAGAAACAGGATCGAGTCTGCAGAAAAGGTCTTAAATGTGTATACTCAGGCAGTAACACTGATTGCTTTATCTATTGCTTATAGTTTTCCCAGCAGCAACATAAATCGTTATGATTTTTGTCAGCCTTATACCAATGTCCAAATACCATGGGGAAAGATGTCAAAAGCTGCTTACTCTTTAGTTCTGGAAAAGTAAATGCAAGTTTTGCTGCACATCTTTCTGCCAGTGCAGAAAAAATGCAGAATCCTTGCTCATGCTTGGATGATTAACCTTGAAATCATACAAATAAATGGATATACTTTTAAATTCAAATTTGAATTACACAAAATTTGATACATTTATTTCTAACACGTCATAGGAAAATTTTATACTGTGACAAGCACTGCTGAGCGTGCAGGGTTATTTCCCCTTCTTTACCTACCAGAAATCCTTGCCACAATCCATGCAAGAAAGGCACTGACAGTTTCTGCAAATGTTCACGTGTTTTTCAACTTGTGCTTTCTTCACCGACTCTCCACATGCACTGCATGTGAAAACTACCATTTTGGTGAGTGGTTAAGAGCTTCTGCAAAGATAGGTGCAAGCTTCTTCCTCCCCACACAAGTACAGTCCTAGAAAAACAAAAAGGAGATACTTGTTTCAAAGCCTGAAAGAAGCATTTGACAGCTCCGAAGAAACACAAATACTAGTGCCTCTGCCAGCAGAAAATCTAAGCAGTTTGATTTTGCACATATACAAGCTCACAAGCTAACACTCATTTTGTCTGCTAATTTATCCTGAGTGCAACTGTAGTCTAACCTGGAACTAATAAACCCAGGATCAGTCAAATAAATCCCTGCCTGCCAAATCTTACTGTCCACCTTACCAAAAAAAAAAAAAAGAATT